ATAAAAACACTTGGTAAAATATAAAAATAAAAAGGCTAAGCCGGTGCACGTGCGCCGTATTGTATTTCTTTCCCCCCCTTTTTTTCCACAGTATTTGGTTGCCGCGTGCAAGGCGGTCGAGTCGAGTCAGTGTTTGTTTACATCGAAGTTTTTTCTGTTTATGCGGAGCGAACTGGCGCCGATTAGGATCTCACCGGAGATGTATTATGGTCTTCGCGGAACTAGAGTCAGTGTTTGTTGCGTACAATCTCAAATTATTTTCAGAGTTTCGGGACACTCTTTGCTTTGTGTGTCGCGAAAGTAGAATCATTTGTTCGCCGGTTGAGAATTTCGGTCGCGATAGTTTTTTATTTTCATTTTTTTTCTACTTGAAAATACTCGTTCGCGAAAGTAGAGTCAGTGCATCACTGAAGTGGATTTTTGGGCGAAGCTCTACAAATAGAGATTGTAAGTATCCTTATATTTTATTACTTACACTGTTCAACTGAAACAGCTAGAGTTTTGAGAAGAGGTTATTACGTGTTCTGTTCCTTTGTTTCAGATTTATCAGATGCTGCATAAACAAACACTGCAGAGGATGTCCTTGGGCGAAGCTGCACCATTTTTCAAGATTCGTCGAGAGAGAATATTAAAGGGAGCTCTTCAGTCATCGGGTGAGTGAATGTTTTTATTCCTCCAGTCCCCAATCATGTCGTAGGACGATTGGTCCGAAACGGCACGGGCGACTGGTTGTATACGTGCTTTTGGCGAGTACAGTGAAAACGGATATGCAATCGTACGATTGCATATCCGCGAGTAATATATGATCTGTTATGTTTCTTAGTTAGGTTAAGGTCTTCTTGTACGCCGCGTTTATTATTAGTAACATAATTCATAACTATTTTGTATTAAAAGAGTATAAGTTGAATATTTAATGTTCGGCTTAAAGGCGAACATCATACAGATGAAATCACATTGGTTATGATGTACTTTCTTTAAGTGTTCAATTTAACATGAGATATTAATCTTGGATATTTCAATAGAGATCATTCTATTGTTTAAATAGTTGTTATTTTTTTATTAATTGAGTATATATTGAGAACGTGGTAGTATGTTATTTATTTCGCTAGAAATGATGTTCACTGATGATGATATGTGCAATAATTTCAGTATAGTCATTTTAATACAGTCGTTTGGTATCATTTATGAATGTAGAACGAAATACGATCTACGTAAGGAAAATTGCAGAACATAGAAAATACAATATATTCACAATGGTCTATACATAACGGTCAACTGATTAAAAGAATAATATTCAACTTATTAATCTGTGAAATAAATATCAACGGTAGATTCGAATATAGAGTAGAAAGAACAGAAACTATACCGGTATGTTTCAAATAGAGGGGAAAACGTGGTGGTGCCTTCTTTGATAGGCATGTTATAGCAGTTAGCGCAATACCACGAGACGCGACAGCACGTTTCAAATACCGGAACCAGTGTCGCGAGACACAAAGGTATCATTCGTATTTACAAGTTTCATGAAATAGTGGAACACGTGTATTGGGAATCGCAATAAAGTATCGGTGCATAAAAAGAAGACGTATTAAGTTATGTCACCTGTGCATCGATATGCACGCAGTAGTGAAAAACCGCGTGTTATGGAACAATTTAACACGTTGTGCATGTATGACCATTGAAAAGTGCATTGCGATTTTCAGTTATCGTGGCCGGTGCTTTCGTTGCCAATGGCAAAGAACGCATACGGTTACGTACACGGGTAGAGTAATGAGACGTACTGACGTGTACTCACGACCACTTTAATGGAGTGTGAGCGTTAAATGCAGGGAAGGTACTACTGTGTTTCACTAGCATGTATAGTGTTCCACAAACATATTTGTATGGTAGATGTATATACTCAGAAGGAATGAGTATTTGTATTCTGTCCATTAAAAAAGGGCAGGCCCAGAGGTGTCCATCTACTCTTGTGAGCAGCATTCTTTCCCTCCGGAGGGACCCTGACTATGGGATTTGGATTGACTCGCTCGAGTCAATCTGAGGTCGGTAGTCGGGGAAACCTACGAGGGGAAGCTTGTAATTGCTTGTAGCTCGTGGGCGGCATTTGGACACCTTTGGTATTAGAGTTAATTTTTATGATAATTAGTATTTAATAAAATTTTATTTCACCCATTAGTCTGTTAATTATTATTTTCAACAGTTATACCGTCATTTGTAGACAAATAACTAAATGAATATAACTTAAATTTATTTACTATTTGAATACAGTATATAATATATCAGTTTACTTGAGAATATGCAATTCTAGATTAACAGTTTGTACTGAATTATATCAGCAATACGTACTACCACGTTGCTCTAAGACATAAATAAAAATTAAGTACTGTATTTTGATACACTAAAAAAAATGATATTACAGACCATGTACAAAAAGGCGTTTCGCGACGGGTAGATTTCTGCGTCAAAGTGACATGTTTGTTACACTTATGTTATGTCTTATATTGACTTTGACGACGGGATCGCCCGAGGGTTATTCAATACATAGAGTCATTTATCTAATTGCAGAGTCTTGCTTAGAGTCTTAATAACTAAATTCTACAATATTAATAAATAGTCAATCTTTGATTTTCAATTTTTATTAATACAAAGTCGAGTCACTTTTATTGCAAAATGAAATGAAAAAGAATAAAAGAGAAGTAGCCCGTTAGAAGAGCAAAAAGTAATAATTATTTTAGTTAGGATTTTCAGGATAATTATTCCGTGTTCGTTGCTCGAACCCTTTCACGTGCCCAGGTGCTACTTGGTTGGGCGAGAGCAACGGGGAACGATGACCTGATTTCATGTAATAATAACATGTCTATGCGACTGGCAATGCGTTAGCTTACCGTGCACGACGTATTTTCCACTTATGTGTGTGTGTGATTAGGCAGTGGAATTGCGTCGTTTAGATTTCTATCAATTAACATTTCATGTGTAATTGTTCCGTGGAACAATTTCGCACAATTTCCGGTATCGGTTGTACATATTCATTTGCTTTATACAATGTTTATAATAAAATTTCCATGGAATATGTACAGGTTTAGAGTATCTCGCTATCAGACGAGAAAATTAACGCGTAATCGATATAAAGTGTACCAAGTATACGTATATTGCTTAATCAATTTTTCTATTCTCGCAATGGATGCTAGCCTTTGCCAGTCGATTTCAGGATAATGGTACGTACATTAGAGTGTGCAAGTTGAATATCACGTTCGGGTGTCGGAGGCGTCCCGGGA